CAGTGGTCAAAGCTTAAACAATGGCGTACGGGACATAGAGATTATAAATAACACTAGAGGAGGCATTGGTATCGGAAACATCAGTCAAAAAAGGGAGCGCGATAATGGGGGGCAAATTCAAGTCCCGGATGCTAAGCCAAGCGCTGATTGGCTAGATCAATGCCTCCTTAGCAACCACGTTAGCAACAATTTTAAAAAAGTTATATTCGTTATTTAGGTCGCTTTGCCGGTTTTTTAAGGAAAAACAGTGCTTTTTGAAACTGGTTTTACTAACTTAGACATCCTGAGACGATATTTTAGGAAAAAAAACATTTAGAAATAAAAAAAACTCGTTAAAAACGACATATTTTGGCCTCGGACATCATGAATGAGTGAACATCCGGGACTTGGATTTGCCCCCCATTAACGCGCTCCCCAATTTCTCCTCGATGACTCCTCTAGTTTTATTTATAATCTCTATGGTACGGGAGACGACAATAGACCACTGAGCTATATAATAATTCCTGGAGGACCGGCTCGCTGCGAAATCGTGTCCGCAAAAACATGGCGGATTTTGAGCTTTGCTGACGCCACATGGTTCCTTTTGCTCATGGTGGCTACCACTGACATACCGCGATACAAGGGGAAAAACTGTGTCCATCTCCCTCCTGGTTTTTATGAAAATATTTTCAGCTTTCCGTATATATTTTTTGTATTTCATATAAATCCTCTTTTTTCCTGTTCAACAAATGGAAAGGAGACGTAGCTTTGTGCTCTATATGTCTGACGTAGTGAATGGCTTAATTCACTTATCGGGGGAATGATTTTTCTCATTCGGCTGTTATTTTATGGCATCCAGGTAAGCCGGTTTTTATAACAATTTCAGTTTTTTTGCCTTTGGACTCGAATATAAACTGATTACCAAAGGTTCTGAGCCATATAAATCCATCAAAACTTATGGTACAAACAGCAAATATACTATTTTAGACCTTTGGTGCATGTGCACTGCAATGTTATATACTCAAACTTTATCATTTTCTTGACTTGTTTGGGGAAGGAATTAAATTCCTGGCAATGTCGACACCGCGGAAATTGGTATAGGCTTAGCCGCAATTCTCGATACTTAGACTTCAAACTTGGTGAGGAAAAAGATTTATAAATATTCAAGAAAATATGTCTTGCACAAAAGATTTGAAGCTTGCTCACGGTAAAAACGAATCGTCTGAATTAATAACCTTGTGTATACTTTAAGCCTCAAAATGGCCATTTCACAGCGGTCAGATGTGTATGATGAGCTGTCAAAAGATTGCAGAATGCGTATTCAGAAGAAAAATTGAACTTTTTTAAGATATTCAAAAGGTTTCTCTTTGATAGGGCGATACAGAAATGCACAATTATGAACCAGCGATTAGATTTTCGGGTTGAAACGTCTAAAACACCAATTTCTGCGGTGTCGGCAATGTCAATCTTTGAGTTTGGTCTATTTTGTTTTCATGATAGCAAACAATAATGTAAATAGGTAAACCTTCCCCCCAGTGAGTCTATTAGATTTAAGCAATAATAAACATGATCTAACTGACAAAAGTGCTGAGTGGGTGCTGATACAAAGTAATAAGATTTTTGCTGCAAACAGTGTAAATTCCAACCTCTGATGGTGACTGTAAAAACCTAGTTAATATATCATCTTGTTTGCCTTGTCAAATTCAAATCAATTATCATGGCTTATATTAATTGATTTTTTAACTTCTTGCACCTTGTGAATAAATCTTGATCAGATCTCCATTTATATTTTTCAGGATGAAGATGCTATGAAATAAAGCAAGCTAGAGATGGCTTATTAATTAATGAAATAAAGCAAGCTAGAGATGGCTTATTAATTAATTGTCATGCAATTTGTTGGAGCATTGAACTGAGATGTATTAAGCATATTATACACATTCTTATGAATCTGCATTGTTATCCTTGATTACCATGTTATCTGATTTTGTTGTTGGCTGGTATTTTTATAACCATTGTTATATTTATAAAAGAAATAAATATAAACATGCATTGTGTGAGCAGTGTATCTTCAATCTGCAGCCACTTTTATAATTTTCTGTTTATGGTATCAAACTTCAAGAGGGCTAAATCAGGTGTAATTGAGTCTATGTAGGGATGAATATTGTTCATTAATAAGACCAGGGTCCAGGGGTGCAATTAGATAATATTGAAAACTTTTATAGCCCATTGAGGTACAATTAAGCTGATGACCTTACTGAAAAGTATATTGTGCAAATATGACTCATGGTTGAAACTATATTCTTGCACTTAGTCAGCTGCCAAGCATCTTGCCCCTGAGCTTTGGCCTCTGTTTCTTTGGATTATACAGGTCTAGATATATTGTCCTGAAGACATTCAAGACCATTCAAGAAAACATTATTAATTGCATACTTTCAGTAATTCTGCTGTTCATGCAGGGTTCAAAAAAGTCTAATTGATGTCCATAAATATCCAATTGTCCCCAAAATGTCCGACAATAGTGCCAAAAAGTTCAATCATTTGTTATAGGAATGTAGAAATAATGAAAATATAAAAAAAAACACCTGTCACGGCTGTCAGTTCGTGTCAGAATTTTAAAAATCTTCAATTTTGTCCACAACTTTTTGACGTTTTAATATATATTTGTTCTTGCGTTGGCAATAACAGCGTCTACGACTTGTATTCATCTTAAAAAAACGCTTTATATTTCAAAAAAATGCAGTTAATGATGTTTTCATGACTTTATATTTCAAAAAAACAAAACAAGTTTTCACGGGAAATTTTTTTTATAAAGGCCAGGGGGGAGAACCTGTTGTTTACCAAATCCAGGGGGGAGAACACCCTTGTAGCGGGCTCATAATTGAGCCCGGTCAGTGGTAAATACCATGGCCAAAAGGAACCATGTGGCGTCAGCAGAGCTTCTGCGGTTGCGCAGAAGGGCGAAGTCCGCCATGTTTTTGCGGACAAAAAGATGGCGGCGAAGTTACCGAAAAATGACGAGCCGGTCCTCCAGGAATTATTATATAGCTCAGTGCAATAAACCTTTTTGTGGGTAGCCGCTGCGCATACGCGGCTAACCACTATGTTATAGCCGAAAAGTGTCCGCGTCCGTCTAAATGTCCACATCTTCAGAAATCGTCAGATAAGTGAACAGATCACGATTATGAACTATTACAGTTTTACTGTTTGTTGACATCTTCGGTGTTTGTCATATGACCGAAACGAACTAACATGGATGCACACCACTAACAGTTGCAATGGACGACTTGCGCTTTAGACTAACTTTTGATTGAAGTAACTAGAGGAAAATAAATCACCCCAGCTAGAAAGATCTTACTTAAATTAGTAAAACTGCCAAGTTGGGCTGCGAAATTTTGTAAAATACGGAAAATATAGCCATGCGAAGTTGCAAATTTTTGTATACTTTTGTATTACGTGCGGAAATGTGTAACTAATTTAGTTACAAACTTCCGGTCGTAATACAAAAGTATACAAAAATCGACAACTTCGCATGGGTATATTTTCCGTATTTCACAACAATTCGCCGTCAAACTTGGCAGTTTTACTTATTTTAGTAAGCTCTTTCAAAAAATGTCCTTTTTATCACCGAGGTAAGAAATTAGTCTAAAGCGCAAGTCGTCCATTGCACGACTTCTGGAATTGAGGAACATATTTATTGATTTCGAAGTACTTTTGGCATGGGGGAACATATTTATTGATTCGTAAGTACTTTTTGCATGCTATTTATTATCCATATATAAATTGTATATGATTTCCAAAGGTAACACAGCATAAGTATTAAAACTAGTTAAATTTAAAAACGTTTGGGCTAAACCATAATAGATTTTAGGTCTGTGGAAATTTAAAATGGCTTTTGTATTGTAAAACAGAGCGGATATTGACACACTCTGTATATTTAATACTTTGTATATATTTAATGACTTGTACATACATGGAAATGTTAATTTGCACACATTTGTATTTTTTGAATATGAAATATTTATATTCCATTTGCTTCAAAAAGATCAAAATATCAAGTGCTAAATTATGCTTCCTATAAACACTAAAATTGAGCAAAGGAATTATGCTTAAATTCACAAACAGCATGTCGAAGCAGTGGAACAGGGATACAAACAGTAACATATTGATTTAAAACAAGTTCTCAAGGTTTAGTTTCTTTATACTATTTAGATGAAACTGGCAAAAGTTATTCTTCAGTTTTGAATGAAACTGGCAAAAGTTATGCTTCAGTTTCATGAAAAATGTAACACATGCATCGAAAATGTGTCAGCACCCCTTAACTACTGGTGAAAGATGGAAGGAAATGCCTGAGATATCTAAAATGCAAGGGACTTGATAGATCAGGTTGTATAGAGAAATAGTAATCAAAGACCGAAGTTCAAAGTCATATAAGATTTTATCAGTGCCCAAGCTACTAAAACAAAGGCCGGGCACGGATGATATGCATAGGCACGGGTACCTATTTCATTCGTGCCGTGCTAATAAATTGAGTGTAGCGTGAACGGGGCTATAATAATATTGGTTTACTTTCAGTTATTTTTAAGGCACTCTACATGTTAAGGGAATCAGCGGAAATGAAAAATTAAATCTGTGAAGATGATTTTATATTACACTAAAATCTACCGGGTGCACATGTGTGTATCGATCGGTATTCTGCAAATTTTTGATATCATGTTAAAGCAATCATGCTATCATGCTTTTGAGGGTAAAACACGCTCTTAACATCAGCGTGATGATCAATATTTGCCGCACATGGAGCGAATAAACTGTTCGTATAGAGACACCTGCACATGGCAGATGTCTCCTTAAGCCATTAGGGGCGCCTCACATTTGGCCAAGGACATCATACAGGTTCCAGATAGGCTAGAGTGGTTTGCATTTGGAGTAACAAAGACATTTATGCCGCCTGAATAAAATAGCTAAAAATATATGCACTTTTTAGAAAAGCTGCAAAATTGATCCTGACTGTAATAAGAACATACCCAAAATGGGACACAACTTGATGTATTTTTCATATCTCTCTTCAAGATAGTCAGCCGTCTCATTACAGCAGGGTGACATTTTTCTAGCATCATTAATTAAACATTCTCTTTCCCATTGCTTCCTGTCTCCAACAAATTCAGTCCATCCTCTTTTACAAAATTTAGTTTCTTCCTCTTCTTCACCAAAGACAAGGTTTGCAGCAAAGTAAACCATTATAACCGTTTGCAAAACTGCTTTACAGTTGCCAAATATGATTGGTTTGTGCTGGTTTCGTTTCGCCCCCATTCTATGAGAATAAGTTAAGGTTATAAGTTTGTATGAAGAAGCAAAGCCCGTCCTACAGATGATGGGAACTCTATAGAAAAGACTAGCATACCTCGATGAAAATAAATACTTTAGTTTACATTGCAAAATTTTGGGCAAAATATAATCATATACTAGGCCTTGCATTTCAGAAATTTCATGCAATGAACATCGTCTTTTGTGCATCGTTTTTGCTGATAAAAATGTGGCGACTCGCGAAGCAAGGCCAAACTAGCTAACATTGCCAATTGGGTAGGTGCATGTCCAGTTTATTTTCTTTGCACAGACGAACTCCATAGACCATAGCCACTATAAATCCATGACTAATCAACTAGGCTGAATTTTTCGAGCGAACGCGGAAATTTTTCGCTTTTCCCCGGTCACATGCAGTTGAAATGATTGTCGTCAAAAGACAAAATACGTAGCCTTGCCTCCCCTTCTTAATAAAGCTTCTATAGCAACGCGAGTTGAAGTTTATTTTTCATGTTGAAGACTCGCTGCATGCTGCGAGTAAAATATACAGCGTACGATTGTGGATTTAACACACAGGTTAATCTTGTTACATAAATTTAACTGCCTATGTACGTGATGGACACACGGAAATGACAACACTTTGCACTTTGCACAATGAACAATGCACAATGAACAATGCGCAATAACGCACTATAGTTTAGAGTATAAAATATCATGGGTTGCACCATTTAAAAGAGAAGATTAATGAAGAAGGTTGATGACTTGGTCTGGGGCACGACAACAAAATAAATATACAAGAAAAGGAAAAAAAAAGAACACAAAACAAAAAAAACATGAAAACCAGGAGGTTTTTTATACTTAACTATTCTACGTCACCAGCGTAATGCCAGTTTCCGCTTCCTGTTGCATGTTATTACATTATTTTTCTCATCGCATATCATTATAAGCATTGCGAATATATACACTGTAATAAATGGCATAAAAAATATATCTTCTATACACAACATTGAGTTGATGTCTACACCTATTCTGCTTCAGTCTCGCACCCTTATGCCAAAACTCATCTTACACCAACCATGTTCCCATTTTGTTACTTTATACCCCCATACCTTATCCCCTTCATAAATATATACTGAACACTGGTTAATTAATGAAGTCATTTTTTTTTATCTTTTAGATATAGATATACACACATTGTATAATAATATACGGAAGACATATCAGGCTTAGATATTTTGTAAACTAGCATGAGGACGCTTCCTTGATGCAGGTACCGGGAATGCACACACAAAACGTTTAAGTTCATTTATCTCCTTCCAACTCATAAGCTCCTGCGGCTCTTTGTCAACAGCTAATTTGGTGGATGCCCCACCAGGGCGTAAAACTTGAGCGAGTTTCAGGTAGTACAGCGCCGTGTGTCGTCGGCTCCAACCCACATGGTCCATGATTTCTGAAAGTTCGGCGCCGGACAATGCTAAAGTAACGGCACATCCAGCACGAATTCCATGCAAGGTCTCGCCATCATCAGCGTTCATTATTTGAAGATAAAGTTTCAAGCGAGCTTCAGCTGCGGACGAACTAAAGGGTGTATTTGCAACCCCACCGTTGGGGGTGGTTGGGCGGAACAGATAACCAGTGGTGAGATCAATATTAAGACCTCGAGCAATGTCGATATAATGTTCAATACCCGCTACGGGGCAAATCACCAGATTAGGATTACGTCTTATACCAAATACGTTACTGTCTCCATCGCGTTACGTCTTGCCCCAGACATGGTTAAAGAGGAAACCGTCGTCATTTGGGAATCTAAGGATTCCTGGGACTTGAACTTGTCCCATATTCCCAGGCCGATCCCCACTAAAAAATACCGCCTTAAAATATGCTTGGTCACGTGCCAAGATAAACTTCTGTAGGCCAGTGACAGTAGGAGAAGCAAGTGCTTGATCAAGATGTTGAGCTAGCTGAGTTAATTTGTCTAAAAAGATTGGAGTGGCTTGCTTGGGAGTAACCCGAGCCTGAAGTTGCTCTGAGGTCACCAAGCGAAGGTAATCTTTTAACGTTTTATCTGCGGCTGGGTTACCTAAACCAAGACGCTGATCCCACTCACCATCTCGGCCAATTGAATGAAAAATGGAGCGTAATTTGCCAATATATGAATCAATTGTTTTAAATGAGAGTCGAAGAGGACACTGGCATTCCTGCACACCCCGCTGACCGAGGAACCGACAAGTCTGGTGGTGCACTTGAGTTTTCCCATGCCTATCTTTAAACACCAAAAATCGGCAGAGATCACGGGGGTTACCGTAGCGAGCGTTGGCCGTGCAGGTAGAGATAGGAGAAAGCCTTCAAGCTCCTGTTGCAGGGAGTTCTTTTGTCGTATATAACTGGTTGCTTGAGCGTAGTTTTGCAGCTGTTGAAGGCGGGAATCAATTTGGGTTATGTCGAACTGTAAGGGTTTGATATTGCTTGGGACAACTCGTTTGCGTGAGTAGCCACACTGCTGGCAAAACCGAAAATCACAGTCATTGGCATGACCGCAAGAAGGACAACGAACGGAAGGAAGGAACAATTTTGCCACAAAAAGAAGATCCTAAAACGTAAGGAGGCGCCTATGTCGGTTAACAAAACTTAAGAGAAAAACACCACAAGTCCGCAGAGAAGCCTGGAAGGGCCTTCCACCCATGCTTGGATGGGGCTAAAAGGACGTCTTGACTACCCTTTACACTTAGTTTAACCGATCGAACTGCGTAATGTTCCAAAAGCGGCCACCAGTACTTCCAAGGGTATACGTCCATTGCAACGAATGTACATGATATGGAACGACGCTTGAGAAAGCGAAAGACTGGACCAACCAGGCATGAAGGAGGGAAGACATATGAAAAACGTAAAATGGGATCTGAAGAGGATAACGCTTGCGGGAACAGATCCACACCCGACGAATGTGGTGAAGCAGTCGGTGTAAAATGTGGAAGGGGATTTCCTTGCAAGTCAAGCATTGCATTAGAATCTACAACCATTAAATTAAAGGTATGTCCATGTAACCCCCCAAACAGCTGTTGCACAAGACGCCATGTATCAGGATGTAAACGACTATCCATCAAGGATAATCTACGTGACGGCAGATCGGCGGGATTATCCATCGAAGGAACGTAAAAGAGATGAAGGGAAAGATTCAATCTTGCCGAAAGAAAAAACAGACGTTTCAACACACGAGATAAGGGTAGACTTTTCCCACCTTGATTGTTCCAAGCGCTAACTACTGCCTGATTATCAACCAAAGCATCCACTCGGGTATTAGTGATTTGGTCTTCAAATGACAACAAAACCTTTTCAAGGGCGAGCGCCTATTTTACACAAATACTTAACTGTAGCTCATTCTCAGTCCAGTATCCAGAGGTTGCCATGTTTTGTGGGGAAAGGATAGTGCCACCCCAACCGGAAGCAGAAGCATCAGTTGCAATCTGCATGCGCAGATGTCTTTCGTCCCGCCATGGCAAAGGCGTATCCCAGGTCTTCAGAAATAACCAGTGTGTAAGTTCGTCACGTAAAGCACCTGAGAGTGAAACTGGACGGCTGGTACGGGTTCCACGGCGAACCGCCGCATTCATTTCCTTTGTAAACAAAAGGGCTGCAGGAACTGCTAACGAAAACGAAACACACTTCCCAACAATACGTTGTAGTGTCTTTACCGAAACTGTTGACCCAGTAAGCACATTTTCAATTAAAGCTAAAAACTTTTCCTTTTTGTGAGACAACAGAAGGAAGCACAGTTGAGTAGAATCCCACAGATAACCCAGATATGGAACCGTTTGACGAGGCACAATAATCGACTTCTTTAAGCCTAGAAAGTAACCTAGGTTGATCAAGTAATAAGCCACAATAAAAATGGCAGACTTTGCAGCCTCAAAATTACGCATATCCTCATTTGGCAAGGATGAAAACGCCGACTGAAACAAAGATACTTGTAACTGTCCGTTGTGACGATCATCGGTGTACAATAGACACGGAATACCACTGGAGCGAAAAAAATGGAAGACGACCAACCCCGTATTATGGTATATGTAGGGAGATGTTTTCCATCCGAATGGTAAAGTATTATAACTGAATAACCAGCCACCCCATTGAATGCCAAAGAAAGTACGGCTCTCGTCGGTTAAAAGGAGGTGATCATATCCTGATTTATCATCCAAGATAGTCTGATAAGAATTATGATGCACGAACGAGGTAAATCGCCAAGGTGATCTAGTTTAAAAGGTTTATCGGTAATCCAGATATTCAAAAATCTTGCGTTTTCAAAAAACGGGGTTTACCCGGCTCTACTGTCAATGGCAGTACAAGGTGTGGAAACGGCACGTGACCGACGGGACCGAGGAGTGTAATGGCACCTGATTCAAGACGATCCAATATGGTTTCTTGAATAAATGTGACAAACGGCCGACATGATAAATTATTTCTGAAAAAAATGTGAGGTGGCCTATCCGAATCATAAGAAGCTCCTGCAAATGAACCCTTAAAATGTTTAAAATAAGAAAAAAGTGCAACTTTATTCGTAACCCAGTCTAAAACTTGAGCTTGACCAGATATGGGTGAATCACCAATAAGCTTAGACCATTCGGTAGCATGATAGTGCAACTCCCCGGCAGAAAAGTGTGACGGGTCGCGAAACTGAAGGGTGGTCAGGTCAACCAGAACTTCGCCCTTTAAGACTCGAGCAAGGTGATCAGGGTCAAGATCGATCGCCCCACCACCGACGGCAGTTGCGTTCCCCATATAATCCACCCAAAGAATAGAGGTACGATCACGTACTGAATGATGAAGAAGACGTTGATCAAACTGTTTATCATTTTCCCAATGCCATCCACTAAATATCTATAAAATGGAAAGGGAGCAATACCGCCGTCAGTACCGAGGCGACCTTCCTGACCCAGTAGTATACCGGGAGGGTTGGTTGAGGTACCCTTTTTCAGGTCAGTCAACTCGTATATAGACGTTCACAGTCCAGAAACAACAAACAATAACACAGATACTTTATATCGTCAATCTATATCATCATCGTTTACATAAATGTCCACCTCTTTAATCATAAATAATCAATTAAATACATCGCCCTTAATTAGACTGTTTTGGCTGCGGGCGAACGTTTTTATTTGAGCGGATGTTCTGCGTCATAGACTCCTCCATCTCTCTTTTTCGTTTACGGCACTGTGCTTGGAAATGACCCAATCTCCCACGATGAAAGCACTTCATATTCAGTGACGTACCAGAGCGCCATCTCCTCGACTGAGACGAAGACTCCGCCGTACGAGCCCTGGCCGCACGCTTCTCTACTTTGGCAACCACTTCTAAGATCTTCTCGTAGTCTTTGTCACGCAGTAGAGGTAAGACTAGCTCACGAAACTGATCGTCAGACTGGTCAATCTTATTTCGCAATGTTTCGTAGGCCAGGCGATAATAATGCTGCTTGGCATGATTGGCATCCTGTGCGGCATTCTTTTTTAATTATTATTATTATTATACTTTACTAATTCTCCCAATGGGCTTTTCAGAATTAATTCTATGTAAGGCTAGTGTATTTACATATCTAAACTAAAATTTACTTCTATAACTATGATATAGATAATTTATGTATAAATATTATTATAAGCTAATCACGATTTTTTAAAATTTCCTTGTAAGCTAATTTAAAATCAATTAAAGAGTTAATACTCTTTACGGCGGCCGGTAAGTCGTTCTAGATTTTTGTAGCTCTATATAAAAAACTACGTTGACCAGCGGCACTATGATAAAAAGGAGTTTGTAACATCTCTTTGCTTCTAGTGTTAAAAATTGCAGGTCTATCTTTAAATTTATCTGTTAAATATGTTGGCGCTAGGCCTTTTTTACATTTAAAAGTCATCACTGCGTCTTTGAGTTCCAATATACAGCTTACTGGTGGCCATTTCAATTCCGACAGAACAGGTGTTATGTGTTCAAACTTTCTGGTGTTTGTAACTAGTCGTGCTGCAACATTTTGTACACTTTGCAACTTGTCGATGTTTTTCTTTGAGGTATATGACCATACCACTGAGCAATAGAACAAATTGCTAAACACCAGGGCTTGAATTATAGAGATAAGGGTTTCTCACAACTCATTGCAATTAACACGCTTCTGTTATCATACCTCGAACCATCTGGCCGAGGGGTCACTTAACAGAGCACAATTCATTTTCAACACGCTTCTGTTGTCATACCTCGAACCATCCCGCCGAGGAGTCATTTAACAGAGCACAACTCATTGCAATTAACACGCTTCTGTTATCATACCTCGAACCATCCCGCCGAGGGGTCACTTAACAGAGCACAACTCATCTTAAACATGTTTCTGTCATCGGTTAGCAGAACACATTAACACAACTTAGATGACACACTGGGTATATCTCGAATCATCCCGTCGAGAAACTACTTTACAAGGCACAGTCATATTACACATATGGTGAATATATCGCTAGTAATTGCGATAAGAGACCCTATCGCGTCAGATGAAATAGAATGCATAGTAAAAAATATACACTAATACGTAGAAGAGACGTAAGATTTGTACCTCAAGTTGTTCATTATCAGCAGGTGGTTGTGGTACAGCCGCCGGAGGTTGTGGTAGAGCAGGCGTAGCCGGTGCTTGGACGTCAACAGGTTGTTGCTCAACTTTGACAGCTCCTTGTGCACCATCTTCGTGTACACCATCGGCAGGGTACTGGACTTCTTCGACGTCTGCCATACATAAATTCGTGCGATTGGGTCCTTCTTCACAAGATTAAAACCAGCTTGTTCGTTCACTGGAACTTACTGTTAGAGAGGTCAGAAGAAATAAATTAATTTATCGAAGAAAAAGAAAGTGAAAAAATAGTCCAGTATTTTTTGAGGTGAGAAACTACGTTGCACATGCAACACTTTAATTCTTTTTTGCAAAGTTTTTTCTGCTTTATTCATGGAGCCAGAGGTGAGTACTTGTTACTTGTTAAATAACGTGTTATTTGATCGTGCACTAATGCAATTACATAGCTACAATTATTTCGCATGCAGATATATACACGTATCAGTCTGCAACATATAAACATTGGTCTATGTCATTTTAAAGCTGGTAAGACAGCGAAATGTTAAAATATGTCAATATATATCAACTATATAAATTATATTATATCACACGAGGTTGAGGTTCAATCACAAGGTCAGCAAATTTTAAATTATCTTATATCTGACACAAAAAAAGAAGCCTGTGTTTATTTGCTGTTTTTTCGCCAGTTCTCGTATTGTAGCGTAATTTTTTACTTTATAAAACGTTTACTTACAAGAAAATGGAAAATTTGAACAAGTTTAAAAAAATTCTAAATAAAAAAGATATCATTCCAAATGGATCGAAAAAGCCGTTTACACTTGCTGCGATTTGCACTCTTTCAATAGATGTGAACGAGTGAATTAGTTACTGATGTTCAAGATAAATAAGAGCTTTTATACATCAGAGCATTCGTTCACATTTACCAAAAGAAGAAAATCGCACATAAAATCGCAACTAAAATTGCAAGTGTAAAAAACGGGCCTAAAAAAGGAATCAGGCAATCAATAATTTTGCCATTTCCGTGTCTTATAAAGAAATATGTGAACATGTATACTATTTACTTGAATGAAATAAAATAAATTATTATATACCACTTGTCAAAGTTTGGTGTTCGTAGCGTTTCATTGCTCGAGAGCGAATCACGCGAGAGTGACAAAATTTTGATGTCACCCGCGCAACCCCCCTGCAGAGTGAGATAACGTGTTATCTCATGGGAAATAACAACTTTAATCACGTGCGGCGCACCTGGACGTGCGATATTTAGACTATTTATCCATTTGAAATTATATCTTTTATGAATAGATATTTCGTTGTTTACCTTGTAGTTTGGTTTTTCTTTGACAAGTGGTATATAATAAAAAAACGTATTTATCGAGAACTCAGAAAACGTTATGTTTTATAGACTCTCGGCTATCGATATTTCACTCGCCTTCGCCTCGTGAAATCTCGACAGGTCTCGGGTCCACAAAACATAACGTTTCCTTCGTTCGCAGTAAATAAGTGATTTCGGAGCCATTGCTTGTCAGCCTGAGAATACATGTAGCCTTTATGTCATTGATTGAAACATTTTTAGCAAATCGACGAGACGGCTGATGACTATAAATTACCTGTATTCGCGAGCTGGCAAACGAAGTTGCAGGAATTTTCAAATATCCCGAAATAATGTAGTCTCCAACCTTGATATATCCAACGTTATCTTAACGCTATAGTTGAACGTTGTTTAAACGTCGTATTCCAACATTCAGATGTACGAATGTTGAGTTGAACGGTGTACGGACGTATGGTATCCTAACGTTAATACAACGTTAATACGAGTTCACAGAAAAACGTTAAAAAATTAATGTTGTTCAGACGTTCGACGAACTTTAATACAAGGTTGATACAAGGTGATTGTGCTAGTTTAATTAAGACTAAATTGACTGATCGATATCCCTGAGATCAGTCAATAAGGGTTTTATTATACTGTTTCAAAGGAAAGAACGGGTGCAGAGAAACTTTTCATTTAAAAAAGAATTCGGCTGAGGTTGAAAGCTCATATGTCGCGTGACGTGACGTAATGTCACGAATTCCGTTTTTCTTAACCCTTATCAAACTGGTTCAAACATGACAAAAAAATTTGCGATAAACTTTCGGATTTCCCGCCTAACGAATCGTATCCTGGAACAAATGAACTTCGAAATATGCTATATAATAATATTAGTTAATTTTCAGTTATTTTTAAGGCACTCTATGTGTTAAGGGAATCAGCGGAAATTAAAAATTAAATCTGTAAAGATGATTTTATATTACATTAAAATCTACCGGGTGCACATGTGTGTATCGATCGGTATTCCGCAAATTTCGGAGATCATGTTAAAGCAATCATGCTATCATACTTTTGAGGATAAAACGCGCTGGAGCTCAACTCCAGCTTAGAATAATCTCCCTGTTGATGTTCAATATTTGCTGCACATAGAGCGAATGAATTGTTCGTAAAGACACCTGGGGTCGGTTGTATCAAGCTCGTTTAGCCTAAACTGTGGTTAAGTTCAAAATAGAAAGCAAGTCTCTCATTTTATTCAACAAGCAAACAAATGTTTTTAACCTTAATACAAGGATGCTGTTTACAACTATATATTCAGTGCACGTTATTCAGATTGACTCACTCAACAGACATGTAGGAGTCTTGTTTATTTTCAACTTATCCATGCACCGTTTAAGCTAAACGGGCTTGATACAACCAGCCCCTCCACATGGGAGATGTCTCGTTAAGCCAATGAGGACGCCTGACATTTTCCAGGCAGGCTTGAGTGGTTTGCATTTAGAATTACAAAGTCATTTATGCGCCCTGAATAAAATAGCAAAATAAACATTCTCATTCTCATTGCTTCCCGTCTCCAACAAAAGCAGACCGTCCTCTTTTACAAAATTCAGTCTCTTCCTCTTCTTCACCGAAGACGAGGTTTGCAGCAAAGTAAACAATTATGACCGTTTGAAAACTGCTTTACAGTTGCCAAGTATGATTGGTTTGTGTTGGTTTCGTTTAGCCAATAGCTGTTCTATTTAGAATGAGTCATAAGTTAGGTTAAAGCGACAGTTTGTTATCCATATTAATTAACAGACTAAAAATCTGTGTAAGAGACAATTTTAACGAGAGACATGTGTGCGTGCTAAGTTCACCATCGCGCGCAAGGCTTAACAGTAGGCGACTGCAAGTTTTCCAAACGCATATACGTATACCAAACAAATTCGTCCAGTTTTGGCCTCCCAATGGTGTTTAGGGCGGTTTTCTACAAGGGCAAATTTTTCGATCGAACCAAGTTGTTCGTTTCACTGGTGACAAATGAAAATAATTTTGCTCGATCGAAAAATTCAACCAAGTGGAAAACCGCCATAAGACGAATACATACAGATGCATCTGCTATCCCAAATAGGCTTCTATACTTATAGCTACGCCGGCCTGCTGGCGAGTTAGATGTTAAGCGCTCAATGGTGAGTTTGATACGCATTCAGGTTCATCTTATTACACAAATAACAGTTAAATATGTTGATCAACGGAAAACTGTCGGGCTCGTAGATAATACAATCACATCTAAGCAATCATGCATAGGCGTTGCACAACTAAACAATGAAACATTGTGAAACAATGAACAATGCTTAATTGTAAGACACTTGACGCTCGGAAGCGGTGAATAGCGATTAGTCATTAGTTGAAGTTAGGGGCTGTTTACATGAGCCGGTTACCTCAGATTCAAGAAAGTGTGAGAGGACTTTGGGGTATTGAAATAAGTCTTTATGACACCAAACAAGGACATGCTATTTTTGTGGTGATTATACGAGTAATACGACTTTCAAGATCATGTTATCTGCTCATTTTGATACCTCAAAATCATCTCACGTTTCGTTGAATCTCGGGTAACCGCGGGCTCATGTAAACAGCCCCTAAGTGTGAGGGGCAACAGGGCAATTTCTATAAAACGAAGCACTTATTGTTGCGGTTTGAATCTAGTATATGTTGCTGCATGGGCTATGCCCCCTACGGCCCCGACGATTCCGCTGAAAGATACAAAGAATAGGGGTCGTGTAACAATATGCAAGCAAATTGGCGACAAATTGTCCACAAAGATCTCGAGGAGGGGTTTTAAAAACTTTTTCGTCTCGAGTTTGCTGTTTTTTGCTACTGATAAACAAGTAATAAAGCAATTTTACTCGTTCAGTTACGAGTTAATGATGATCAAAATTCGCCCCGGTGTCTCGCCCGATATTTGTCCTCCCAATGGCCATCGCGTGATTACAAGTACTGATACAAAATGTTAGATTCGGACGGTATTAAAATTATTGCATATCTTCTTACAGCCACATGTACCTGTATAATTATAGCAAGCTTCAGATCTTTGAAATTTCACTATTTGGGAAGCAACAATGAGTGTTTCCAATCCTGGGGTAAAAAAAAGAAAATCGCAGGTGATTCCTCGCTATTTGTCCAACTTTTTGTTTGGGTTATTTAATGGGCACATGCAAATAAAGAGAGAACATCTGATATTAACGAGCTTCCAATAGGTTCCCTAAGCACACAAACGGCTACAATGTCACTAATATCTGAAGAACGCAATAGAATATAATTTTATGTTCAAAAGCCCCGCCGTTAACATAAAACGTTGCATCAATGCAGTTCATCATAATTAAAAACCTTAATCCTGTTAAATTACACAAAAAGAGTGAAAATCGATGTGAGCAAATGAAAAATCACCATACATACCATCTTTAGCCAGATATGATTTCTTTAGCCTCTTGCCTCATAAAGTAGAGTATTTGCAACATCAGTTTCTACGAATTTAACTGGGAAGTCAAAGGACAGTCAATAAGATAGTGGCGGAAATATTTATGTTATATAGAAAATCTACTGATAGTTAAGCAGTAGCAACTTCGTACCCAGGGTGGAGAACCAAGGGTTTGAGGTTGAAGCAGTGCCGTGGCAGTAACATGATAAAATCTAGAACAATTAATATCTGGGGAGGGTGTGCAAACGACAACTGTGGTCCAGCAGCCTATCAAAAAGACGCCGAATGATATTTAGCAATCATAAACCAGAGATGAAAAATTACTTCTGAAAATTACTCCTTCCTGATGGAGCCTTCATACCACGAGAGCCAATTAGCTTTTTATTTGCATTATTTTTGATTCTACAGGGTTGGTGCATGATCTCTGCATAGTTTGACAAATTGTTATCAAAATCTCGAAATGATGTAAATTTTTATTGTCTTTATTCGTAATTTGCCACAAGAATGAAATCGTGATTTTAGAATAAATTACACTAAATTCTGAGTTCTCTATGAATTCACCTGTAGTAGGATTCACCTGATCCGCCATGGACAATCTTACGGGCAGTAAATAATTAGTAATATTTAACATTTTTGAAGTAAATATCTGTGTGAATACACCGAGTTTTAGACCGCATATTCCTCAAAACATGCATTTTATTGTTTTTGTAAATTATAGTGTTTACGTCATAACCTTTGTTTGATAAACAAAGTCAGAGCCGTATGTAAACAGGTTAAAACTGGTTTCCTAATAATTATTAGTATAGCATGCAGTTTTCATGCATGTCATCCTGCGTCGTAGATTTGGTGCATTTTATAAACTCGCTTGCAGGCGTAACGCATTCGGGATGTGAGTAATTTCAGGCGTTACCACAAATTTCTTCTTCATTCAATAGGAAAAAAGTTTTTAAACAATTATTAGCATATCACCTACGGGATTCGTTTCCGAGATGACGTATTTCAAGCTTCAAGAAGACGTTGGAGTCTCTCGTGTGTGTCTTCTCTCATTCAGCTTATGCACACAAAACCAGCTAGACACGTTTATGAAGTCTTCTAAAAAAACATAGTTAAGAATAAGTTTGAAATTGCTTAAAACCCATGCAGTGTTACATAACATATGTGGCGTAGCCAGCCCGACAATTTAAGAGACGGTTCCAAATTTTATAGCTATAATCAATAGGTTTATATATTATTACAGACATTTTAAGATGGATATACGTGCATTAGCTTCAGTGAGTTGGACGAGTTAATTACTTGGAAGGGGATGGGGCGAAATAATTATAAAGGATACAATGCACATTAAAAACAGTACCAATTTAAATTTGCCTACCTTGGATTCATTCATTGCACCACCTCTTATTGGTTTAAAGAAATGAAAATTTGGTTATAGGAAAACCAATTATTTGGTCGTTATTACAAAATAGAAGAATAAGATGAATCTAAAACAATCAATTTCAAATTTAGTTGTTTTAACAATCTGTTTTTACAGAGTAGTTCAGTTTGCAGCGAGTGTTTCGCGTTCACTTTGTTGCCTATAGTTCGAAGCAGAGGCGTAAGATGCGCTTCCGTCCTAAAATTAGAAAAATTTATAGAGAATCGAGAATTTACTACAGCAATTCTTTCATATATCAGTATTTTAAACTGAGTTTCATCCTAACAATATACATACATTTCATTCAAATCTTCGTGCAGTACCATAAGAATTCCGATAACCAAAGGTTGCTGTTGATCTAGCTAATTGTATTGCGCAAAAAAGCGTTGAAAAAAAAGCTTGAAATTGTTATTATATAATAAAGTATTACACGTATAATTTTTTTAGTTGTTCAGTGATTCGATAATACTAATAATATTCTAGAGTCAAAAAATATAAAGGATACAACTGTATAATATTATGTTCACTATGGAGAGCGTTGATGGTACTTTCTTGTTGCCGAAAGTACCATATACATGCATGCTTATAAGTTTGCATCACATTAATGCAATCCCGGAGAGTTGGAAACGTTGGCCATCGAGTCTTGCTACAGTGAATGTGGCATCAGTTATGCCTAAAGTCACTGAAATTCCGTAAGGCCTTTAGCCCAGTTTCCGGGTATAGTTGTCTATAATTATGTAATTATATAATTATATACATGTATATATATATATATATATATATATATATATATATATATATATATATATATAATTATGCGAGATTTATAAATTCTATAGGTATTTAACCTGGACTTATTAGGTTATCTAATAAGCGACAGTAAGTAATCGAACATTCTTCTAACGCTGAATGTTCAAGTCCGACTAATAATGAATAATTTCTGAAAGCTGAAATACAACATTCTAAGGTTCCGAGTTTAGTAGCTTTATACTTACCATTAAAGAAATGGTGGCTTTATAATTATTATTTAAAGGTAATTACTGCGTAGCAAACTTTATACCTTTACAAGTTGATCCATCGCGAATGTAGCCGATGCTACAAACACAAATGAACGATCCATTGGTATTAAAACACTCTGAACCCTTTTCGCATGAGTCAGTTTCAATTTTACATTCATTTATATCTAAAGATAATAATTATTAACTTGTTGGATCGTATATTATAACTATTATTGCGATAAAAGTGAGTTATTGTGAAAAAAAAGATTAATACACTGAATAAATGGCATTAACAATATATCTTCTATATACCCAACATTGAGTTGATGCCATTTTATGTTACCATCAGCATATGCATGGGAAGCTTACAAATTAGGCGAGTGGGAACTCAGCTCCTGCTTAATTGTCGGGAGGTAAGCCAGAGCACCGTCATAATGTAGCGATTGCGCACAGTAACTATTACAAGTAGGCCTCGTTTACACCAAACCGGATTGGTTTCGGAGATCAAAATAAATAAATCCACATTTATATATATTATATTATAATTATGCGAGATTTATAAATTCTATAGGTATTTAACCTGGACTTATTAGGTTATCTAATAAGCGACAGTGAGTAATCGAACATTCTTCTAACGCTGAATGTTCAAGTCCCACTAAAAATGAATAAATTCTGAAAACTGAAATAGAACATTCTAAGGTTCCGAGTTTAGTAGCTTTATACTTACCATTAAGAAATGGTGGCTTTATAATTATTATTTAAAGGTAATTACTGCGCAGCAAATTAAACTTTATACCTTTACAAGTTGATCCATCGCGAATGTAGCCGTTGCTACAAACACAAATGAACGATCCATTGACATTAATACACTCTGCACCCTTCTCGCATGAGTCGGTTCCAAGTTTACATTCATTTATATCTAAAGATAATAATTATTAACTTGTTGGATCGCGCATTTTAACTATTATTGCGATAAAAGTGAGTTAGTTTGACAAAAATATGAATATATACACTGTAATAAATGGCATAAAAAATATATCTTCTATACACAACATTGAGTTGATGCCACATTATGTTACCATCCACATATGCATATGCATGGGCAGCTGAAAAATTAGGCGAGTGGGAACTCAGCCTCTAGCTTGTCTGGAGGTAAGCCAGAGCACCATCATAATGTAGCAATTGCACACAGAACTATTGCACGTAGGCCTCGATTACACCAAACCGGATTGGTTTCGGAGGTGAAAATAAATAAATCAAATCTGTGAAACTAGGCTAATACGTATCTGCAACTAACCACTGCCCTTAATTGAAAGGCAAACGAAGATATCGTGCACGCGACAAGCGAATCTAGTATTGTGTAAACAGGGCCTTAGTTTCAACATGTTCTGGTTTTATTTACCGTTACAAACCACACCATCTCCAGTGTATCCATTTGGACAACCACAGGAATATGAGCCGGGATTATTTAAACATATTCTTGAATTACCACAAACATCGTGTTTGAAAGTGCATTCGTCGATATCTGCCATTTGATAAAATAAGACTTTCATTCGGATATTCAATGAAACGAATATATAAGTTAAGATACGAGACGTATACGTATATAGGTCACTATAATTTTTATTATTTATTCGTTTTCAGAATAAGTTTTTCCTGGCAGTTTTTGCTAATGTTTTTAATTAATATTTTTTTAATGTACGGATGACGTCATAAATCCTAATCAAATTTCTACTTTCTGCAAACGTTATTAATTACCGCGAAAAAGTCGGGACTACAGAAGTATGTCGGCGTACACGAGGAAATACTGGGAACTTCGATGGAAGTTAGTGATTGAACGAAATAAAAATAACTCCTTTTAAAACGCAGGCACAAAACACAAGAATTGACAAATAAAAGTTTTACCTGCACACGTTACTCCATTATAAGTGTAACCGATGTTACAAACGCAATTGAATGATCCATCGGTACTTATACAAGATGCTCCTTTTTGGCATGTGTAATTTGTTCCAGATTCACATTCATTTATATCTAAACACCAAATTACGACGCATAATAAGTTATTAACCTTCAAATTAGATAATTAATTATAAGTCGTGAGAAAAAAAAATTGATAAATTAAATTTGTTTCATCCCAGCCTTTCCAGCCGATGTTACAAATGCAATTATACAATACATTGTTAGTTACATGCATAATGCGGCTTTGTCGCAAGTGTTATTTCTAGGTCTAGAAGGAAAAGCTAATATTAGTTGACTTTAGATTTCGTAATATAATTTTCACCTGTACCATTTGAATTGTTATGTAGACCAAATCCCCCAGGATAGATATATGTTGCCTGTGCTTTCCAAACAAAAACAAGGAGACCAAATTTTATTTCAGTAGAAGCATGATACACTGTAAATATGCGTGGATGCGTTAAACTTATTACTGTCCAAACATATCTTGTTCCACCGATCGGATTCCATTTCAAGCCATCCAGCTTCATTCCATTCATATATAATCCATCGACATCTTTATCCTGGATAGCAATGGTGATTGCGTCACGATGTCTTGGACCATCAGGTAGTGTCACACGATAGTATGAAAGAAACTGGCTTACTGATGGTACAACTAGCATTGCAGAGTTAGCAAGTTTGCCATCGACACTTCGTTGTTCGATGTATTGAACTACTTGACATGGTTTACTGCAGTTCACATACGATGCGTAATCATGCCCTAATATCAATTCTGCATAGGTCGCGGATGATAAGACTTTGGTCCACTTAGCGGTTTTAACAGCGGTGTTATTTTCGTAAGCGAAAATTCGAAAAGTATCACCACCTTTATTCATTCTTCCTGCACTCGTCAAAATGTATCGATGACCCCACAACGAGACAGGTAATAGGGATGATTCCAGAAATTTAAAGCGTTGCCAATATCCCACGCTCGATATAACCATCACTGGTTTCGTTGCAATGACTACTGACCCAGATAAATCTGACGATGCTGAAATGTACAGCGCCTCATGTCTTTCAAGCTTTAGCAATATGTTCAGTAATGGTCGATTTTTGTCAAACGTGAGACCACGATACTCTATAACTGCATTCTTTTTTAGAAAAACAAGGATTGTGTTGTTGTCATGTGCTGATATCACGGCGATATTCGCTTTGGTGTAGTACGGCAAATGTGATGCCACAACATAAATTAAACCAAGTGCTCTCGTTGGAAAAACCAAGTATCCATCAGCTGCATAGTTATTTCTATTCCTGCACATCAGTGAGATGTATCTTGTTGATGAAATTTCTATGCCCTTCTGAAGATGACCTAGCTTTTCGTTCATTCGCAACTTCATAGGCAATTTGTGTTCAAAATGTTTCCCTCCTTCGACATAGACAGTCTCGTTCCATAAATTCCCGGACTGATTGCTAAAGAACGTTACAATTGTGTCAAATGGGGCGAGGATGGTAACTCCAATATAGTCATCTTGCTCGTTATCATACAGGGCCGTAAATCCAACGATGAAATGTTTCCCATAATTGTTTGAAATGCCTATAAAAAAAAACGATGCGGGGTTTTAGAGCAATAATTAATATTTCGTATGCGCATGCATGCATTGCTTCATTCTGTATTGTTTTTGTTGGCAATCACTTCAGCGCTTTTTCTCACGAAGAAATTATTTTTAAATTGTTGTTCAACTCATATTTTAGACTCTAAATACTTAACCATAACACCAGTATAAAACGGTTCTGCCAAATCACTACTGATGCATCTTTTCAGTTGAAAGTAGCCTTGGAAAAAGTGTAACGGGCAAATTAGGAGTTTTAAACATGGCTTTTTGTATGGAATTTGAAAAGAAAATTGTTTTTGCTGTAGCTGTTTCTTTTGCCTGGTGATGCCGAAACGATATAGACTTTTGTTTTTAATTGAATTGATATCCATTTTGCAGAAGTGTAAAGAAACCATGGAATGTGCATGTATGGTTTGTTACCTTAGCAATCCCCGAGCCGGTGAAGAGAACCGTGCCAGGGTACTAATTTCTCCCGAAGATTAGGGATTACACCCGGGTATATGAGGAAACATATATAGCGGAATACAAAGCATGCAGCCTAAATCCTATGTCATGGATGTTGGACGTTCAATGGTCATGGTGTTTGTACGCATGCTCGAAATTTGAGCGAATAAAGAACGACTCGTAGTTTATAATCCTTTTGAAGTGGTAGGTGTCTATATTTTGTTTATTTCGTGTTTGCTGTAAAAATGCATCAGTATTATTTTCTTAAGTATATGAACTTAGCATTTCGTTTTACGAAGAGCTAACCGACTGTTTAAGGCTTTACATCATCGCTTAAAAAGTGCACTTCGGAGTTTTGATAAAAATATCACTTTAAAGCTTATAGTCGCTGCAAATAATGCATAAATTCAATAATCGAAAAACAACATTCGACGTTTGCTGCTTGCATAGCTATCTAAATTATTTGTTTGCTTTGATGTTTTAATTTAAACGGTTTAGCTATAGCGAAGTTTAACTCTCACTTAAACTGTGAAAGTCTATAACTTCATGCAACGTAATGCAGTAGGCAAATGGCGATTTCACTTCATCTTGACGACTATCTTTGTTTCCGAAAAATTTCTCCGATACACATCAGCTATCGGCTATTCATTTAACTGATTTAGTCATTTCATAATATTAAATAAAAGATAGTTAGGTCTGGATAGCTCAGAAAATATTTTGCTTCGTTTCACACGCATGTCGAAGGGTTGCTGTGTGCAGATATTTCTAGTATATAGTTAGTGTAATATAAAATGAAATAAACATGCATACCTTTATAATTATGGCATTATTGCAACAATACTAAACCTCTGAATTTCGTTACGCAGCATCCATATATGCATGGGCGTACCGAGAATTATAGGGGTGGTGGGTGCTTGTTAAAACTATTTTGCAGGGTACTTACGCATGAACCTAGACTGATATGATGGCACTCGTGACAGCCATGTATGTAAGTCTAAAAAAAATATAAACTATAATTATGATGGACAGTGCTGCCCGTTTTTTTAGGAAGAATCATCGGGGGATGGGATTGGGGATGGTAACTTACAGTCTTTACGAAATTCGTATTAAAAATGCGGTCCAAAAACATGTATGGAAGCGGGAAAGTAGATACAGAAAGCCGGTTGTGCCGAGACATGACGGTCCGATGAATCGAAGAGACATCATTTTTGTGTCGTTGGTTTGTCATGAGTACTGACTATCCCGTGAAGTTAAAATTTTAGATCTACCTTTTGAGTCACCCTGAGAAGTAGTATATTTACCTACTCCAAATGAAAAAGGCAAATTGTTTGAAATTCAACAAGGAGTATTTTAACTATATATAGCTTGCAGTAACACTGTCATCACATCTTCCCTTAGGCTAGGCTAACTGATTATTTTCATTGTCAAGGGTACACGTTTATTTTGATAGATTCTTCGTTGTCGACGCATGCAGGCAGCATAACGAACTAAAATCCACAACTAGTAACATAATCATATAAATTATATACCAATAACATCTGCATGTCCTAAATAAGTATATTCGCCCGAGCGTTCAAAATATTGTTCAAATATTGAAAATTCATAATCGTAATAACTCCTATGGCCTAACGCTCGCCTATTGCCCTTAAACATAACCGTGATCGGGCGTTAAATTCAACCTGCTTATGCGTATTTCCCAACTTCAACCCCAGCTCACAAAAATTATTTCTTGAAGAATGATATAGCCAGATTAACGCATGTTTTGAAAAACATTTTTTCTATACTCTGATCCGAGCTTTTATTTACAGCTGCATGTGATTTCAATCCTAGAAAAACTTTGCTTAAATTGATTTCTTGCGTTTTGCATTGCTAAAACTATGGTCAGTGTATACTTACGCATGAATCTAGACTGAGGAGTTGGCACTCGTGACGGAAAAGTGTCCATGGCTAAAAGAAAAAAGAGGTAAGATTGGTGAAGTCGTTCATCGGTCTTCCGTTGCTTTGAACAAAAGAAAACTTATTGTACTAACACTTGCTCGCGAGAATGCATAAACTTAAACATTCACATGCATTTTACTGTTTGGGGATTTCTTTTCAGCTAGAAAGTCGAGCACACATTAATTTTCTAGTCGAACATTTCGTGTAATATAGAGAAATCATTGGCGTAAACAGACAGTGACGATTTTGTCCGATTATGTAAACTTCGAGTTATTATACTTATTCATGTGTTTAAAACACATTGTCGTCAGGTGGATATTCAACCCGACAATATTGTCGGGAAAAGCAAAACATTAAATATCTCAGCAAGTATTTGGACTAAAGACCCTGGAATACCACCAAACGATAGAGCTTGAAAAGACGATTTAAATAGTATTTTAAAACCTGCATATAGTAATAAACTGCATTTGTATTATAAGTCAAAACATGAATCAAATAATATGTTGCTTTGTTATCTCAAATTACTCCCCATAGCAACCATATTACTTTAGAAATTCAGTATTTTCTCGCTTTTTTTTGTGCTCTGTGTTCTTTAAAATGTCTGAATTTCACATACTATCATTCTGTTATTGTTCTGAGTAATTGTTAGGGTAGGATGTGCAAAAGAAGCGGAGAAAATAGCATTTTATAAGTTCTAAGCGATAATTGTTGCTAAGCGCATTCTTACCGCATGCTCGGAATGTTGTCATGCGGTTGGAAAATGTGACAAAACTCCCTAATGCCTTCCCCCTAGGGTAAATTTGACCCCGGAAATCGATTTCTGACGTAAAATTGGACCTAGGGGGCAGATTTTCGGCTTTTTTTGCCCAAATTTTTTTTCGATATTTTATTATTGTGAAATATTATCGCCGGTGACGCGAAATTCATATCATCAATGTATCTGCCTCGTACCCAGGCGCTTATTTAAAATTAGGCTTTTTAATATATTAAGCTTAAATGAAGTACTTAGCAAAGCGTAAAGCGCGAAGGTGTTCATGGGAAGATTGCGCCCTGGGGAGCGCCTGGCAGATCTTGTTCGATTTCTTGCAATAAAAGTCGATTTCTTGCAAATCATCTAAATTCACGTCGTTTCGCAACTTTTTCCGCTTTTATTCGCTTTTATTCACAAAATAATATCTCCTTCATTACAATAAACATTCATTCGCCATGTGAGAAGTGGTAAATATTTTTATCTGATGCCCTGAAGCAGCGATATGTCATCATTTGAAGAGGTCGACAATGTTTTGGATAGATTAAATCTTCAAGGTATGAAAAATTCGACAAGCTGCTGGATTGTTGTGATATATACAGCACCTTTTATTAACCTTCTATGTCTACATTTTCACCTCTCTGATTATTTTTAATGATCCACAGACGAACCAAGAGCTGCTCGTCGATCAGCACGACGTATTGCATGCAATTTTCAACGACCCTCATCGCCGGATGCTTCACAAGGTCCAAGCTTAAAACACGACTTGACGCCAAAGTCGAAAAGTGCGGGCCTGCCAAAAAGTAAACGTACTCACGTTTCAAGTATGTATTCGTTCACCTATGTTCCTATGTTTTTAAGTAATAATGAATAAATGAATGTATGGTATGATACAGTATTTTCTGTTATTTATTCTTGTTGTCTAAATTATATAACATGTGGTCCATATGGAATGTTACACTATAGATTGTTTGAATAACTTTATGCTCATTTTTGTGTTTCGTTTACTTCGTTTACTACGTCATCCGCCATGACGGAATACAAGATATGCCAGGCGCTCCCCAGGGCGCAATCTTCCCATGAACACCTTCGCGCTTTACGCTTTGCTAAGTACTTCATTTAAGCTTAATATATTAAAAAGCCTAATTTTAAATAAGCGCCTGGGTACGAGGCAGTCAATGTATGTTTATATAAAAAAACGGCAAAAATCTTCTAAAGGCTCGATTTTGACGCTAAAGATATCAAAATAATCCTGAATATGTGAACTAAACCACTGCAACCGGTGTTCGTTTGCATTTTGGGCAATATTTTAAGGATTAGGCCGCTTTGATGTGCAATATTGAATAATATAAAAAGCACATGCACTTTAAAGTGAATATCTTAGCGAATTGACAACATATTGATATAAAAAAAACATGTATCTACTGAGGACAATTTCTTCTTTAAAGTGCGCCTATTTTTGTTAAAATCGGTCAAGTATTCGAACAGGAATCGCAAGTTATAATCAGCAAACCACTTCGAAATGTCATCCGATCTGACGGCAGTGAGTTTTAAAAAATCACTGTTTTCACAGTTGAACGAACAACAGCAAAGGACCGGGACAAATCGTCAGGCAGGCTATATACGCGCTATTTGGAAAAATGGTCTGTTAAGGCATGATTATTAGCAGAGGGAATAATGTCCAATATGATTATATTCATTGCTAGATGTTTTATAATCAACGGTTGCGTGCATGCATCTTTATAGCAAGTGGGCACACGAAGAAATGACGTGACATAACCAAGATTTTAATCTTTGGATTTTGCTTTGTCTTGTAGTTCTTCCACTACCGGGAAATTTATATATTCAATTCCAAAAAACATAATTAATCTGGAAAGTTCTGGCAAGTGAGAATTGAAGCCATGCACATGGTGGTTAGAATTGAACAAATCAATCATATTCATTCGGCGAATATTAAAGAGAAGAAAAATCTAATATTAATTGACTTTAGATTTTGTAATATAATTTCACCTGTACCATTTGAATTGTTATGTAGACCAAATCCCCCAGGATAGATATAAGTAGCCTGTGCTTTCCAAACAAAAGCAAGGAGACCAAATTTTACTTCAGTAGAAGCATGATACACTGTAAATATGCGTGGATGCGTTAAACTTATTACTGTCCAAACATATCTTGTTCCACCGATCGGATTCCATTTCAAGCCATCCAGCTTCATTCCATTCATATATAATCCATCGACATCTTTATCCTGGATAGCAATGGTGATTGCGTCACGATGTCTTGGACCATCAGGTAGTGTCACACGATAGTATGAAAGAAACTGGCTTACTGATGGTACAACTAGCATTGCAGAGTTAGCAAGTTTGCCATCGACACTTCGTTGTTCGATTGTATTGAACTCTTGACATGGTTTACTGCAGTTCACATACGATGCGTAATCATGCCCTAATATCAATTCTGCATAGGTCGCGGATGATAAGACTTTGGTCCACTTAGCGGTTTTAACAGCGGTGTTATTTTCGTAAGCGAAAATTCGAAAAGTATCACCACCTTTATTCATTCTTCCTGCACTCGTCAAAATGTATCGATGACCCCACAACGAGACAGGTAATAGGGATGATTCCAGAAATTTGAAGCGTTGCCAATATCCCACGCTCGATATAACCATCACTGGTTTCGTTGCAATGACTACTGACCCAGATAAATCTGACGATGCTGAAATGTACAACGCCTCATGTCTTTCAAGCTTTAGCGGTATGTACAGTAATGGTCGATCTTTGTCAAACGTGAGATCGCGATACTCTATAACTGCATCCTTTTTTGGAAAAACAAGGATTGTGTTGTTGTCATGTGCTGATATCACGGCGATATTCGCTTTGGTGTGGTACGGCAAATGTGATGCCACAACATAAATTAAACCAAGTGCTCTCGTTGGAAAAACCAAGTATCCATCAGCTGCATAGTTATTTCTATTCCTGCACATCAGTGAGATGTATCTTGTTGATGAAATTTCTATGCCCTTCTGAAGATGACCTAGCTTTTCGTTCATTCGCAACTTCATAGGCAATTTGTGTTCAAAATGTTTCCCTCCTTCGACATAGACAGTCTCGTTCCATAAATTCCCGGACTGATTGCTAAAGAACGTTACATTAGTGTCGAATGGGGCGAGGATGGTTACTCCAATATAGTCTTCTTGCTTGTTATCATACAGGGCCGTAAATCCAACGATGAAATGTTTCCCATAGTTGTTTGAAATGCCTATAAAATATCGACGATGCAGGATTTTAGAGCAATAATTAATATTTCGTATGCCCATGCGTTGCTTCATTCTGTATTGTCTTGGCAATAACTTTAGCGCTTTTTCTAACAACGAAATTATTTTTTTTAAATTGTTGTTCAACTCATATTTTAGACTCTAAATACTTAACCATAACACCAGTATAAAACGGTTCTGCCAAATCACTACTGATGCATCTTTTCAGTTGAAAGTAGCCTTGGAAAAAGTGTAACGGGCAAATTAGGAGTTTTAAACATGGCTTTCTGTATGGAATTTGAAAAGAAAATTGTTTTTGCTGTAGCTGTTTCTTTTGCCTGGTGATGCCGAAACGATATAGACTTTTGTTTTGAATTGAATTGATATCTATTTTGCAGAAGTGTAAAGAAACCATGGAATGTGCATGTATGGTTTGTTACCTTATCAATCCCCGAGCCGGTGAAGAGAACCGTGCCAGGGTACTAATTTCTCCCGAAGATTAGGGATTACACCCGGGTATATGAGGAAACATATATAGCGGAATACAAAGCATGCAGCCTAAATCCTATGTCATGGATGTTGGACGTTCAATGGTCATGGTGTTTGTACGCATGCTCGAAATTTGAGCGAATAAAGAACGACTCGTAGTTTATAATCCTTTTGAAGTGGTAGGTGTCTATATTTTGTTTATTTCGTGTTTGCTGTAAAAATGCATCAGTATTATTTTCTTAAGTATATGAACTTAGCATTTCGTTTTACGAAGAGCTAACCGACTGTTTAAGGCTTTACATCATCGCTTAAAAAGTGCACTTCGGAGTTTTGATAAAAATATCACTTTAAAGCTTATAGTCGCTGCAAATAATGCATAAATTCAATAATCGAAAAACAACATTCGACGTTTGCTGCTTGCATAGCTATCTAAATTATTTGTTTGCTTTGATGTTTTAATTTAAACGGTTTAGCTATAGCGAAGTATTAACTCTCACTTAAACTGTGAAAGTCTATAACTTCATGCAACGTAATGCAGTAGGCAAATGGCGATTTCACTTCATCTTGACGACTATCTTTGTTTCCGAAAAATTTCTCCGATACACATCAGCTATCGGCTATTCATTTAACTGATTTAGTCATTTCATAATATTAAATAAAGATAGTTAGGTCTGGATAGCTCAGAAAATATTTTGCTTCGTTTCACACGCATGTCGAAGGGTTGCTGTGTGCAGATATTTCTAGTATATAGTTAGTGTAATATAAAATGAAATAAACATGCATACCTTTATAATTATGGCATTATTGCAACAATACTAAACCTCTGAATTTCGTTACGCAGCATCCATATATGCATGGGCGTACCGAGAATTATAGGGGTGGTGGGTGCTTGTTAAAACTATTTTGCAGGGTACTTACGCATGAACCTAGACTGATATGATGGCACTCGTGACAGCCATGTATGTAAGTCTAAAAAAAAATAAACTATAATTATGATGGACAGTGCTGCCCGTTTTTTTAGGAAGAATCATCGGGGGATGGGATTGGGGATGGTAACTTACAGTCTTTACGAAATTCGTATTAAAAATGCGGTCCAAAAACATGTATGGAAGCGGGAAAGTAGATACAGAAAGCCGGTTGTGCCGAGACATGACGGTCCGATGAATCGAAGAGACATCATTTTTGTGTCGTTGGTTTGTCATGAGTACTGACTATCCCGTGAAGTTAAAATTTTAGATCTACCTTTTGAGTCACCCTGAGAAGTAGTATATTTACCTACTCCAAATGAAAAAGGCAAATTGTTTGAAATTCAACAAGGAGTATTTTAACTATATATAGCTTGCAGTAACACTGTCATCACATCTTCCCTTAGGCTAGGCTAACTGATTATTTTCATTGTCAAGGGTACACGTTTATTTTGATAGATTCTTCGTTGTCGACGCATGCAGGCAGCATAACGAACTAAAATCCACAACTAGTAACATAATCATATAAATTATATACCAATAACATCTGCATGTCCTAAATAGTATATTCGCCCGAGCGTTCAAAATATTGTTCAAATATTGAAAATTCATAATCGTAATAACTCCTATGGCCTAACGCTCGCCTATTGCCCTTAAACATAACCGTGATCGGGCGTTAAATTCAACCTGCTTATGCGTATTTCCCAACTTCAACCCCAGCTCACAAAAATTATTTCTTGAAGAATGATATAGCCAGATTAACGCATGTTTTGAAAAACATTTTTTCTATACTCTGATCCGAGCTTTTATTTACAGCTGCATGTGATTCAATCCCTAGAAAAACTTTGCTTAAATTGATTTCTTGCGTTTTGCATTGCTAAAACTATGGTCAGTGTATACTTACGCATGAATCTAGACTGAGGAGTTGGCACTCGTGACGGAAAAGTGTCCATGGCTAAAAGAAAAAAGAGGTAAGATTGGTGAAGTCGTTCATCGGTCTTCCGTTGCTTTGAACAAAAGAAAACTTATTGTACTTATTCATGTGTTTAAAACACATTGTCGTCAGGTGGATATTCAACCCGACAATATTGTCGGGAAAAGCAAAACATTAAATATCTCAGCAAGTATTTGGACTAAAGACCCTGGAATACCACCAAACGATAGAGCTTGAAAAGACGATTTAAATAGTATTTTAAAACCTGCATATAGTAATAAACTGCATTTGTATTATAAGTCAAAACATGAATCAAATAATATGTTGCTTTGTTATCTCAAATTACTCCCCATAGCAACCATATTACTTTAGAAATTCAGTATTTTCTCGCTTTTTTTTGTGCTCTGTGTTCTTTAAAATGTCTGAATTTCACATACTATCATTCTGTTATTGTTCTGAGTAATTGTTAGGGTAGGATGTGCAAAAGAAGCGGAGAAAATAGCATTTTATAAGTTCTAAGCGATAATTGTTGCTAAGCGCATTCTTACCGCATGCTCGGAATGTTGTCATGCGGTTGGAAAATGTGACAAAACTCCCTAATGCCTTCCCCCTAGGGTAAATTTGACCCCGGAAATCGATTTCTGACGTAAAATTGGACCTAGGGGGCAGATTTTCGGCTTTTTTTGCCCAAATTTTTTTTCGATATTTTTATTATTGTGAAATATTATCGCCGGTGACGCGAAATTCATATCATCAATGTATCTGCCTCGTACCCAGGCGCTTATTTAAAATTAGGCTTTTTAATATATTAAGCTTAAATGAAGTACTTAGCAAAGCGTAAAGCGCGAAGGTGTTCATGGGAAGATTGCGCCCTGGGGAGCGCCTGGCAGATCTTGTTCGATTTCTTGCAATAAAAGTCGATTTCTTGCAAATCATCTAAATTCACGTCGTTTCGCAACTTTTTCCGCTTTTATTCGCTTTTATTCACAAAATAATATCTCCTTCATTACAATAAACATTCATTCGCCATGTGAGAAGTGGTAAATATTTTTATCTGATGCCCTGAAGCAGCGATATGTCATCATTTGAAGAGGTCGACAATGTTTTGGATAGATTAAATCTTCAAGGTATGAAAAATTCGACAAGCTGCTGGATTGTTGTGATATATACAGCACCTTTTATTAACCTTCTATGTCTACATTTTCACCTCTCTGATTATTTTTAATGATCCACAGACGAACCAAGAGCTGCTCGTCGATCAGCACGACGTATTGCATGCAATTTTCAACGACCCTCATCGCCGGATGCTTCACAAGGTCAAAGCTTAAAACACGACTTGACGCCAAAGTCGAAAAGTGCGGGCCTGCCAAAAAGTAAACGTACTCACGTTTCAAGTATGTATTCGTTCACCTATGTTCCTATGTTTTTAAGTAATAATGAATAAATGAATGTATGGTATGATACAGTATTTTCTGTTATTTATTCTTGTTGTCTAAATTATATAACATGTGGTCCATATGGAATGTTACACTATTAGACCGGGAGCCCAGAGGGTCGAGCCTAGCTGGAAAGCAAACCAATTTTAATGCACATAGTGATGTTCTACATGCGTACGACTATACGAAAATGAACGTCTGCCGGGGATAGGCTGGTGGGCGTGGTTAGGATGGGCACGTGAAAGATGCGAGAAAATCAGCTAGATCAGCTGTGAGATAACCGAAAAAAATATTTGCCAAAATGTTCAGCATAACTTTTGTAGTTACAAATGTCCACTGCCAGACATATTGGGTGGTGGGTTGCCCCCCCCCCCCCAGACAGCCTCGAAAGCCCACTCCCGAAATTTGTCTAGATCAGCTGTGAGATAACCAAATAAAATATTTTGCATGATGTTCGGTATAACTCCATTAGTTCCAAATTGCCACTGCCAGACATTTCGAGTGGTGGATTGACCACGCCAGACAGCCTCGAATTCCCTCACCTCTAGAAAATTGTTCATGATCATCTATTTCTAGATAATCAGCAAATTATATACACTGCGTCCAAGAATTATATGCAAAATAGTTTTTCCGCTACATTTAATTTGTTTTTTTAAAGAGGATTATGAAATTTCGTATATATTATGAAAACACTGTATCATGCCCACAACTGAAGCTTTTGGCTGATCTGAGCAGTGGTAAACAAACAGCGGCCATTTATGCTTTAAATAGAGATCTTGGGCGTCCATTTTTATATGCAAGATAGGCCGCGGAGTTGAAAAGACCAAAATTATTCAAGCACTACAGCAGAAGCAACCCACCCTTCAAATCGCTAAAATGCTTCAACGTGACCATCGTAAAATCAAAAAATATGCTACAAATCCACAATCCTGCAATGGAAGAGCAGACAAGGGGAAGATTCAGGAAAAGTCAGGTGTGTCTCGTCGGGGAGTCAGTTCACTTAAACGCGAAGTCCACCGTAATCATCTACAGACCTCCAAGCAGGTCTTCGAAGCAGTTGGTATGTGTAACGTTTCTTAAAGCAGCCGATGTTCCATTCTAAAGCGTAATGCAAAATGTAAGACACCCTTGGTGCGACCTCTTTTAAGGAAAGTTCATGGAGAAAAGAGACTCGAGTGGACGAAAAAATATGTGAAACAGAACTTTGAGTTGGTGAAAAAATATGTGAAACAGAACTTTGAGTTGGTGTTATTTACTGACGAGTCCCGAGCAACCCTTGATGGATCCGATGGCTGGAGAAGAGGATGGTGTGATATGAAAGGATTACCTCCAGTGTTTCAGGCATCAACAAGGCGAGTTATGTTCTGGGCTGCGATCATCAATGATGAACTTGTCGGCCCATTTACAGTCGAGGATGCATGGGTTAAAATGACCGCCCCGAAATACATAGCTTTCCTAAAGGAGCATTTTTTGCCATGGTATAAGAAGAAAATTTGTCATTTCGGAGGAATATGGTTTTTATGCAGGACAATGCTCCTTCCCATGCTGCACACTTGACAACAGGCTTTCTTAGTAAAGTTCTTGTTAAAAAAGGTGAAATTATGCAATGGCCAGCACGCTCTCCGGATCTCAACCCAATTCAGAACTTGTGGAAAAAAGAGAGGTATATGCCGGTGGAAGACAGTACTCGTCAACAGAAGATCTTTGGAATGCAATTAAAACTACTGCTAGAGGTATTTCACCTGATGCAACAGGAAACTGATCGCATTGATGGATCGAAGGCTACTTTTAGTCAAATCAAATCATGGATGATACATTAAACATTAATGAATAATATTAATCTTCTATTTTTGGTATATCATTATATAATTTATTATTTATCAAATGTGTGTGAGAATATATTGATTAAAATTACCTAGATAGACGATATTGTCTCATTTTATAAATTTTTCCATTGTATCAATTCGCTAAATAGCAGTATAAGTGTAATATGCATATAAAAATGGACGCCCAAGATCTCTATTTAAAGCATAAATGGCCGCTGTTTGTTTACCACTGCTCAGATCAGCCAAAAGCTTCAGTTGTGGGCATGATACAGTGTTTTCATAATATATACGAAATTTCATAATCCTCTTTTAAAAACCAAATGAAATGTAGCGGAAAAACTATTTTGCATATAATTCTTGGACGCAGCGTAGATTACAATTGGTAATGTCGGACAGAAATGGACTGCAAATATTTTGTACTGTTGCTTTTCAGGCCGATTGTATACAGTCTAGGCTTAAATAAGTTCATTTCTATTAACTGTGATGAGTTATATTCAAATTTTTGAGTTAAAAACAATTCACCACCAGAAATGTCTGACAATAGTCTTTGGTAACTATTATATATATATATATATATATTATATATATATATATATATATATATATATATATATATATATATATATTTCGAAGTATATAATTTGCTGATTATCTAGAAATAGATGATCATGAACAATTTTCTAGAGGTGAGGGAATTCGAGGCTGTCTGGCGTGGTCAATCCACCACTCGAAATGTCTGGCAGTGGCAATTTGGAACTAATGGAGTTATACCGAACCTCATGCAAAATATTTTATTTGGTTATCTCACAGCTGATCTAGACAAATTTCGGGAGTGGGCTTTCGAGGCTGTCTGGCGGGGCCAACCCACCACCCAATGTGTCTGGCAGTGGACATTTGTAACTACAAAAGTTATGCTGAACATTTTGGCAAATATTTTATTCGGTTATCTCACAGCTGATCTAGCTGATTTTCTCGCATCTTTCACGTGCCCATCCTAACCACGCCCACCAGCGTATGCCCGGCAGACGTTCATTTTCGTATATTCGTACGCATGTAGAACATCACTATGTGCATTAAAATTGGTTTGCTTTCCAGCTAGGCTCGACCCTCTGGGCTCCCGGTCTATATAGATTGTTTGAATAACTTTATGCTCATTTTTGTGTTTCGTTTACTTCGTTTACTACGTCATCCGCCATGACGGAATACAAGATATGCCAGGCGCTCCCCAGGGCGCAATCTTCCCATGAACACCTTCGCGCTTTACGCTTTGCTAAGTACTTCATTTAAGCTTAATATATTAAAAAGCCTAATTTTAAATAAGCGCCTGGGTACGAGGCAGTCAATGTATGTTTATATAAAAAAACGGCAAAAATCTTCTAAAGGCTCGATTTTGACGCTAAAGATATCAAAATAATCCTGAATATGTGAACTAAACCACTGCAACCGGTGTTCGTTTGCATTTTGGGCAATATTTTAAGGATTAGGCCGCTTTGATGTGCAATATTGAATAATATAAAAAGCACATGCACTTTAAAGTGAATATCTTAGCGAATTGACAACATATTGATATAAAAAAAACATGTATCTACTGAGGACAATTTCTTCTTTAAAGTGCGCCTATTTTTGTTAAAATCGGTCAAGTATTCGAACAGGAATCGCAAGTTATAATCAGCAAACCACTTCGAAATGTCATCCGATCTGACGGCAGTGAGTTTTAAAAAATCACTGTTTTCACAGTTGAACGAACAACAGCAAAGGACCGGGACAAATCGTCAGGCAGGCTATATACGCGCTATTTGGAAAAATGGTCTGTTAAGGCATGATTATTAGCAGAGGGAATAATGTCCAATATGATTATATTCATTGCTAGATGTTTTATAATCAACGGTTGCGTGCATGCATCTTTATAGCAAGTGGGCACACGAAGAAATGACGTGACATAACCAAGATTTTAATCTTTGGATTTTGCTTTGTCTTGTAGTTCTTCCACTACCGGGAAATTTATATATTCAATTCCAAAAAACATAATTAATCTGGAAAGTTCTGGCAAGTGAGAATTGAAGCCATGCACATGGTGGTTAGAATTGAACAAATCAATCATATTCATTCGGCGAATATTAAAGAGAAGAAAAATCTAATATTAATTGACTTTAGATTTTGTAATATAATTTCACCTGTACCATTTGAATTGTTATGTAGACCAAATCCCCCAGGATAGATATAAGTAGCCTGTGCTTTCCAAACAAAAGCAAGGAGACCAAATTTTACTTCAGTAGAAGCATGATACACTGTAAATATGCGTGGATGCGTTAAACTTATTACTGTCCAAACATATCTTGTTCCACCGATCGGATTCCATTTCAAGCCATCCAGCTTCATTCCATTCATATATAATCCATCGACATCTTTATCCTGGATAGCAATGGTGATTGCGTCACGATGTCTTGGACCATCAGGTAGTGTCACACGATAGTATGAAAGAAACTGGCTTACTGATGGTACAACTAGCATTGCAGAGTTAGCAAGTTTGCCATCGACACTTCGTTGTTCGATGTATTGAACTACTTGACATGGTTTACTGCAGTTCACATACGATGCGTAATCATGCCCTAATATCAATTCTGCGTAGGTCGCGGATGATAAGACTTTGGTCCACTTAGCGGTTTTAACAGCGGTGTTATTTTCGTAAGCGAAAATTCGAAAAGTATCACCACCTTTATTCATTCTTCCTGCACTCGTCAAAATGTATCGATGACCCCACAACGAGACAGGTAATAGGGATGATTCCAGAAATTTGAAGCGTTGCCAATATCCCACGCTCGATATAACCATCACTGGTTTCGTTGCAATGACTACTGACCCAGATAAATCTGACGATGCTGAAATGTACAACGCCTCATGTCTTTCAAGCTTTAGCGGTATGTACAGTAATGGTCGATCTTTGTCAAACGTGAGATCGCGATACTCTATAACTGCATCCTTTTTTGGAAAAACAAGGATTGTGTTGTTGTCATGTGCTGATATCACGGCGATATTCGCTTTGGTGTGGTACGGCAAATGTGATGCCACAACATAAATTAAACCAAGTGCTCTCGTTGGAAAAACCAAGTATCCATCAGCTGCATAGTTATTTCTATTCCTGCACATCAGTGAGATGTATCTTGTTGATGAAATTTCTATGCCCTTCTGAAGATGACCTAGCTTTTCGTTCATTCGCAACTTCATAGGCAATTTGTGTTCAAAATGTTTCCCTCCTTCGACATAGACAGTCTCGTTCCATAAATTCCCGGACTGATTGCTGAAGAACGTTACATTTGTGTCGAATGGGGCGAGGATGGTTACTCCAATATAGTCATCTTGCTTGTTATCATACAGGGCCGTAAATCCAACGATGAAATGTTTCCCATAGTTGTCTGACATGCCTATAAAAGGAATGACATTTTTGTACGGATAGTATTCTTCGAAATCTTGGAGACATTTTTTGTCACAAAGGACATAAATACACGAGAATTCTACGTGTTCATTCACTGATTCAGTGTTGATGTTGAATTCACACTATTTCGCGGAATTTTTGCTTCTTCGAGGTAGCGTCGGAATTTCGTTAAGTATAAATAGAATTTTCGGTTATTCGCGATGTACATTATTTATTTTATTTGAAAAATGATTCTTTTCACTCTCAGCGAACATGAACATCTGTCAAACATATCCCGTTAATGGACGGCGTTTTTCTACGTAGCTTTTATTTTGTCGAGAACGTCAAATCTCGAAAAAACAATTTCGTCTCTTCCTATTGTCGTCAATTTCGTTTTAAGTTCAGTGATTGTGCAAAATTAATACAATTGATGTAGTATTTGGTTGCAGGAATTTCATTATGGCTATGAATTTTTCACTTAAATAGTAGTCTGTATAGCATTAACATAAGTGTTTTAAAATTAAGGTTGGTCGTAAAATGAGTGCAATGAAGAATTTCCACATGAGCTATTAAAATATATTTTGTACTATACTTACTCATGAATCTTGAATGATAAGATGGCACTCGTGAAAGGAATGTTTTTACTTCTAGAAATTAAAGGAAAAAAAGACCAGTTTATGGGTGAAATTGTAGGTCAACATTTTTTGCCTAAACGAACGAGAACGGTTTTTTTAAACGAAGAAATGATCGACTGTTTTCATTGCATTGGTGAAAAAATTAGTCATAAATTAAACAATAAATCATTTTATCACCATGTGCGACGATAAGCTCTTATAAATGAAATGACCCTGTTTCAATTTCCGCGGATCCTTCACTGCTGAGAAGAGGTTAAGGAGAATGTGAATTTACACTGGCAAATAAAGTTAAAGTTTTTATCTCGGTATTGTAGTCCGTTTACATTAAACCTAATTTATTGTCGCGAAAATGATAGTAGTTTCATTTGTGATTCGTAAATTTTTACCGAATTTTAGGTCTGTGTTTGCATGCGACAGCGTATTCGGTTGCCATACGAATTTTGTAAAATGGTCGAGCTATGATAGAAAAAAAATAATGTTTTATACTTTCGACGCAGTTTTCTGTAATTTGATTTTTTTGAAAAACCTTTTAGCTATATCGCTTTTTCTGAAAATCAACCCCAAGCTTATCCTAATTAAATATAGCACACATTAAACATAACATAATAGACATTGAACAAAATTCAAAATAAAGCGTGCAACTTACCGTTTGAAAAACCAGAAAAAGTTAGCCCTCCAGGATAAGCATTTGAAATGCCATTATTCCAACCAAATACAAGTAAGCCAAACTTCACTGTGGGAGAAGAATGATATACTGTAACACTGTCATTAGCGGAGAAAGCTAATACTTTCCAAACATATTTTGTTCCATCGATTTTCTTCCATCCCACACCGTCTAATCTTATTGCATTGACGTACAACCCATTGTCGCTGTATTGATTGTCTATCATTATCGTAACTGAATCGTGATCATATTGAAAGCCGAAAGGAAGAGTAACATGGTAGTAGGACTGGAACTGGTTTACTGATGGCAGAACTATCATCGAAGGGTCAGCATATTTCCCATCAACTGTCTCCCCTCTGATGTATTGAACAACTTGACATGGTTTACTGCAGTTGACATATGATGCTAGATTGTGTCCTAAATCCAATTCCGTGAATGCCCCGGATGTCAAAACCCTTGTCCATTGAGCACTTTTCACGATGGTATTATTTCGATAAGTAAATACGCGAAAAAGGTCTCCTTTCGTTTTATCAGTCGAGCGTACAGTACTCAAGATGTACTGTTTTCCCCACAAGTTTGTGGGCACTAGGAATGATTGCAGCATATCATGATGTCCTTCAGAGCCAGGGGGTTTTGCTAGGTAGGAACCTGATATCACAGCCACCGGTTTGCTCGCGATAACAATAGTTCCAGATAAATCAGACGAACCCGAAATGTGCAGAGCTTCAAGTTTTGTCAAGGTTACTGTTGCATAGGGTAGAGGTCTCGTTTCATCATACAAAAGACCTCGAAAATTTAAAACAGCTCCTTTAACGAGTAGAAGGGTAATTTCATTTTCTTCATAAGCTGATATTATAGCTAAACTCCCCTGCGAATAGGATGCAACCACGTAATTCAACCCCAATGTGTTAACTGGTAAAGCAAGATATGCGTCAGCCGAATCACTGTTATGATTGACACAAACAACTGAAATATTTCTAGTTGAAAAAATTTCAATTCCGTTCATTTGTTCTTTATTCTCTTTCATTCGCAGAACAATCGGTAGTTTGTATTCGAATATCTTTCCCGCTTTGATATTAGTTTCATAGCTCAATGATGCACTTGGATGTTTGCTTAGTATTGTTAAGTTTGTTTCGTACGGTGCGAATATTGACAAACCAATGAAACCAGATGTTTGATGTTGTTGAGCAGTAAATCCGACGATGAAATGATTTCCATAATTACTTTGATCTCCTGCATTAAAATAATTCACATTTTCGTTATTCGGCTACCTGAATTAGGGCTACTCCTATTTATCTAATTTCATAAGTGACTTAGAGCACTTTCCTTTGAGCGGCTAAAATGGTCTGATCAGTCATATTTATTTTGAATTGAAAGGGAGAATTTTTTTAAGAATTTAGCAGTGAAACTGCATTTCCCTTTTTAGGCAGATGTAAATAACGATATACTTGAATGCAGAGTTCTTGAAACACACTAAGGTACCGGTAATCTGTCTCTACTGAAATATAACAGGAACATTCTGTCATTTTTTAACGTATAAAGGTTAGCTCGCTCAGCCACGCACAGCCCGACGATTTTGTTCCGTTATGTAAATTTCGTATTATTATAATTTCAGCTGACGGACAACAACCCAAGCGTTTCCCAAAATATGATTTGCTTTTAACTCGTTCTTAGCACAGTCAGAATACCATATCTCGAAACAGCCGTCATCGCGAATTTTGTTGGTAAAGAAAATTTTCAGTGTGCTCGCGCATAAAGATTAATTTGTTGATTTCAGGGTGGCTGCCATTCTCCTCCGCAGAGTTCTACTTTTAAAAATATTTTATAATATGGTAGTGGTGAGCGAGAAGGCGAGCGTAACTGTGCGCGACTTTTTCGCGATTGTTTCTAATTTACTGAAGATGCATATTTAATAATTATTGAGGTATTTTTAACATTGCATAATATTTAATCGTCACGTGCTTTGGTAATATTATTAATGGTGCATAAAAAAATTTACACAAAACAGTTAAGAAATTAAAGCAAAAGTTGGAGAAATCAAGTTTATTCATTGAGTATGTGCTGATCAATAAGTGCATTGCAATTGTTTAATATAGCTATACCTGCAAATAGAGAAAAAATTGTTCGAGGGCTTATAATAGACTTTTTCAGTATAATAGACTTTTTACCTCACAACATTTTAACATCAGAAAGTTTTAAATTTAGTTTTCACCAAGTTTTCACCAACCACGTACAAAGATGCAAAACATCCTTCTTCAACACATGCATTTTTTTTTTTATTTTGACCAATAAATGTGGAAATAAGCCATAACATGAGATTAAGGCTGAGAGGCCAAGACCGCGAGCCTCGTTCCCGCATTATAGCTTATTTCCATACTTATTACTCAAAATGAAAAAAAAAATCTCCATGCACGGGTTATAAAAGGATGTTTTGCATCTTTGCACATAGCTTGTGAG